ATTGGAAGTTTATATAGGGACGGAGGTAGTATATCATGTCTTCCAAAGCCATCTCCCTTCGAGAACCCTTGACCCAAACTGGCCGTTATTCGTAGCTAATTTAATCTAATTCGAATATGCGAATAGGCTCACATAAAAGAGTTGGTGCTGGAGCATGCTCCGCCACCTCCTGCAATAGCAGAATTTGCAGTTGCAAATTTGATCAAGATGGGGTTTCCCCAAAGAGCGGCAGAAGGCGCAATTTCTATATGTTCTTGCCACAAGGAAGCTAAAGTTGGTGGAGGCTACACCTGTCCAAGATGCAAAGCACGTGTTTGTGAACTACCTACAGAATGTTGTGTTTGTGGGCTCACCTTAGTTTCTTCTCCACATTTGGCAAGGTCATACCATCACTTGTTTCCAATTACTCCATTTGAGGATGTATCACCCTCCGTTCGAAACAATTTGCAAAAGACACAAAAAAAATGTTTTGGTTGCCAGCAGAGTCTCATAAACCCTGGTATGTCAAGTTATTGCCATCACCTTTTATTGCCATCACCATTTAAAAAAATGTTTATCTGCTTCTTGGTATTGTACTTTGTAAAAAGTGGTAACTTTACCTTCATATCTTTTCTCTCAATCTGGTATCATCTGTCTTAAATGAATATGTGATGTCTTGACATGTAAACTGATTTTTTCTCAGACTGTGTGTTACTACTGTATATTTTTTCCATTCTAAAGCCCAACTATATGGTGTAAAAAATCCATATGGGTTAGTCACTCAGTCCTGGGGTGGATAGTACTAAGTATATGTAGTAATGTTTGTACAATTCACATAAAATTGATTACTTCCACCTAACAAGTAAAATTTCTTATGTGTACTTTAGAAAATAATCAAGTGTACTTTTATAGGCATTAGGCAACACACTGTCAGAGTGGCAGTTGGTAACAATGGAAAACATAGTGCTCTGTTCCATAGCATGAATAAACCCACAACCTTGTGCGGGGGGGGGGGGGGGGGGGGCGCTCTCTCTTAAAGATCCATGTTCCTTTGTGTATGCGTGTATGGTCCCAACCCCTTCTTTGCAAAATGGTTCATTTGTGAAGCACGGTTGGTTGATACAACTGCTTAGTGCTATATCTTCACAAATGGCATGCTACAATATCTTTCCATGATAGTATTATTGCCTCAAATTTGTTTGCCTGCACGTGCAACAATTTATATGCCCACGTATTTGAAGCATAGAGTATGTTTGGGAGCTTGGATTTGAATGGAAAGGGGGGTAGGGTAATATTTCATTTTGAGAAAATAGTTGTCTTATGAAATGATAATCTTGTACGGAGTATATCTCAGTGTCCAAGTCAGATATTTACTAGCAATGCACACTCCATATGTATTTTTCTTCATTCTAAAATAAAGAGCTGCTTGGTGTACAACTTTTTTGTACACATTTTGTACACATAACTGCTGCCTTTTTTAGACGAAGTCTGTACACAAAATGTGTACAAAAAGGTGTAGGCAACATTCCCTCCCCTCCAAAATTTACTTCCCAAACATGACCTTTCTGATGAAACTGGTTTCTTTTCTGATGCAGGCAACATACCCGGTCCATGTGTTGCTTGTCCGAAATGCAAAAAACACTTCTGCCTGGACTGTGATATCTACGTCCATGAGAGCTTGCACAATTGTCCAGGCTGTGAGAGCTTCAGGACTTGTGCACCAGTCAACAAAAATATGCAAGAATGATAGGAATGGCATGATCGCTACTTCTATACCGAGAGATCTAAATGCATTTCAACCAAGAGTTCATTTTTTTACATGCCCAAGGTGTTGATGCTCTTTACAACGTTCTTTTGATTCACAGAAAAGTTACCTCGTCTGTTTTCTTGCTGAAATATCATCTCTTTAGGTTTGATCCTTTTCGGTAAGGATGACTTTGATAAATTTTCAGGTCTAATTCTTATTCTTGTTTCTCAAAATGAATGACCGTTCAAAAAGGTGGCCCACCACAGCAAGGGGAACTGTGAGGTGGAACTGCTCAGGAATGACATCTTCCTTTTGAAGTCTTGCTTCCATTCATTATAATCAACACATTCATGAAGACATGTTAATTCATCAATTAAATTATCTCTGTCTTTACTTTCGTTTAACAGTGCCTTCCCTTCCCAGCCCCCATAAACGTTATCATTCTGTTCATCATTCTCCTTTTCATGAAAGTTTAACAACTTACGAAAAACTGAATTGCTCAAAACTTATACAAGTAAATAGCAAGTTGAAGTCTATAAAAAAGACGCAAACTTGTAAGAAAACGATCGTAAACTATACTTTCTCGGTTTTTTAATAGTTGGAATATTATGATTTTTGCACTATTCACTTATCTTTTTGTGACCACAATTTTCTACTAATATATACGTAGTATATAACAAACTATAATGCATAAAAGGTTATTAAATTTATATAAAATGTGAATTTTCAAAATATTAACTTTTTATAATGTTTATTAATACGTAATTAAATATAACTACTGTCAAAGTTGTGTGAACACAAACATGAAAGTCAAACTATTGTAACTATTAAAGAATGAAGGACGACACTTTTTTGAGTAAAAAAAGTTTATATAGATATATCAAAAAATTGCTAACCATTGAACATGCAAGTTGCCTATAATGACCAAATGGAAAAACCTGCCCCATGAAACATCCACAACATGTGTTCAAAAAACTAATAAAGTGAAACACTCCCTAACATTTTGGTTAAAATGACTAAAAAATAACACAAACAAAATACAAACATTTTGGTTAAAATGACTAAAAAATAACACAAACAAAATACAAACATTGTCTGAGAAAAAAATTATATTAAAAAAAAGGAAGTGCCCAAGTGCGTAAATATCTTGTTAGTTTCCTGACGAGCGTGTTATCCAAAACTTTCGCTCCAACTCCATTTTTATCGCCATTATTTTCCAACTCTATCAACCACCGACTCTTCTCCTACTCGATACCGCTATTGTTTCGTCACTTGTACGCCTTCCGTTTGCTTCACATTAACACTAGACTCACCACATTGATGACAAAGGCAGATTTCACTGTAATTCTCAATAATGGGGATCCTTCCGTGTCAGTCGCTTTATTATACCCTACATATTGCCTTTCTCTAGAATCACTCACTAACCTTACTTTCACAACTTCGCCCACTGTTTACTCTCATTTATGGCCCAAACTCCATGAGTTGCTCCGAGTTTGGCTGTCCTAGGACCTGAGGGCAGAACCTATTTGCATGGCCAATAACACCACACACAAAACAAAGATTGGGGAGTAGTCATTTGCTTTTTGAACTTTCATATTCTTCTTTAAATATCTCCCTATATCTAGGCACACTAGAGTTCTCAAATAAGCCCTTCACGCCCTTCATCTAACTTAACAAACCTTCCTAGAGACTTATTGATAATTTTGGCCACCTTTAACGTTAGGTAACCTGTTGGCAGATTATGCAATGGAATCCATATTCTGAAATATTTTATGAATCTTTCAAAGGGAGATCATCAACTTTTAGTTCATGCAAAACTACAATGTTCTAATCATATAACCACTGAGCATATTAAATAACACGCTTGAAATCCACTTCGTGAGAGAAAGAGAACACATACCGTTTGTTTTTGACTCTATTGATTGAAACTCCTCTGCTAGGCCTCCGAATGGAGACCAAGATCTCCCTGAACAACGTGAATTTGAAAACCTTTTCGGTAATAAAAGTTCCAACTAGCGACCAACCGCACCTGGAAGACCTCAAAGGCAGCAACAACTAACCATAGACGCAAGCTAGGAACAATCTATTTTTTTTCCTAATGTTACGAAAGATCTCATGCTAAATAAAGATTTAATCATACTAAAGAAATTTACTTCCATTGTAGGTTTATACTACATAGCACATTTTCTTGAAGTAACTAAGAAATATTGTGGTAAAATTGTTGAAAAAAATTTGTGTTTTTCATATATGTGTGTATATATATATATATATATATATATATATATATATATATATATATATATATATATATATATATATATATATTGGCGCAGTATTTATCAATAATTTATTTGACTGACTTCCCGATTGAATTTTAAACTAAAATTTTATGCACATAATCCAAATTTAATAATGATGAACATACGCACAAATTTCATCAAACAACTCCAGCCGAAAGAATCTCAAATAGAGGAGCCTGGACGTCATTCCGCTTTGGAAATTCTTGACCGGGAGATTAACACAGAATAAAATTTTCATCTATCACATTCCTCGGCAGCGCATCACACATGGTAGTGCGATCATGATGAGTGGGTAATCGGGAAGAGAAGTTTAGACTGAAGGTAACATCACTCCCGGAAATTTTTGGTAGGAGTATGAACCAACTTGGTTGCTCTTCTTTTGTTGTCGTGTTTGTTCTGTTTTATGGATGTCCCTTTATGGGCCCTGGTGTTTTGATGCGTTTTGTCTCCCTTGATGTGGGAAGCTGCTTTGGTGCCCCGATCAGCTTTGTCTGTTCGGGACTTTCTGTCTGCCTTGTTTTGGGATGCGTAGAGCCGTAGAGTATGGAAGAGACATAACGATTGTTTGTCCCTCGGCTGGTTTCTACGTCTTTTCAAAACGAAGTAATAAAAAGAATATAATGTTCACTCATATTGTAATAACCCATCCTTCTTTAGATTCACCTCCGCGTGAGGAAGAGTTTTGTGAAAATACTTTATTCCTACATTATTTCTTCTTTAGCGGAAGTGCGGAACTTGTTTTTATTTTAGTTCGAGTAAGTTTGATTTTGATATTTGGACTTTTGAAGTACTCTTTGATAACGGTGTTTCAGTTCCGGTTGTTTTACATTTAAAATTGTCCGTTTTATGTATAGCGAATCATTACTTTGTATAAATGATTAATTTTATGTCTATTCTTAGATATTATGATTAAATCTATTCTTGATATTAATATAAAAGGTGATCTTTTATTTTCAAAAAAATCTGTCACATTCCTCTATTTCTTATTCACTTTTTTTTTAGAAATGAATTACGTAGTATACAGCTATTCTGGAGACTGTTCAGGTATGATGAATTAATCGTGTCTGATATGTCAATGGCGGAGAAGAAAGAGAATGCGTCCTAAGAAGTTAACCACCGCAGCATTTCCACCGGCAGGCTGCAACAGTCAACACGGAGAATTCCGGAACAATTGCGGAGTTGGAGATTGCCAACTCCAACAAACACCATCTCCCTCGCTCTCACCAATCCGCCGCCCACTTCTCTATCCTTCACCCATGATCCACCACAGGAATTCTCCTTTTGCCCCCCTCGACCCTGTAGATCTGACCGCCTGATTCTAACTATCTCGTTCTTAAATACTCTTTGATCACGCCAATAGACTTCGAGGTTTATGCTCGGGTGATTTGGTGTTTGTTATGGCCACTCTGAAGTCTTCTCGGTCTAGAAACCACGCGTCAGTGACGCCGGAAAGTGCCAGCAGTAGGGATGCAATCTCAAACCTCGACGAGAATATCAAGATCTTCAAAGCGGATAATTTCGACGCCGATGGTTATGTGCAGTCCAAGTGTCACTCCTTGAATGAAAAGGTCTCACTTTTTCGTTTTCACCTTAAGTTTTTGTAATGGCTTGGTCAATTTCACCAAGTATAGCACTGCCACTTCATAATTGTTCAAACTACTCTGATTCAAGGCTCCTAAAGTATAACTGCTATGAGGATAAAGGTATGGTTTGGCCGTTTGGGCTATGCCAGTGATTTAGAAGCTTCAAGCTCAACTGCTCAAGCTTGCACTTGACTAGACTCGAATGCACCCAGTCCCCACTCTGTAGTAATATGTGCCCAGTTTTTCAACTTTTGCTTCAATGAGTAACTAGGTATTCAACAGGCAGCACACTGCCGCTTACCTGAGCATTATTCTTCATTTCTTCTTCTGAAACAATATAGTGGTTTCTAAATAGAATTGACCATAGAATTTTGGTATAGCTTTGGACTAAAATATCTATGTTAGTACCTACAACATTATTGGTGAAGTCAACACTATATCTTAAGGATCAGGGGAAGTTTGACAGACAATGTGTTAAGTGTGTGCACTGAAAGGGATTGAATATCATCTTGTTGTTGGGATGTCATCCTGTAATAGCAATGCTCTCCTGTAAAAAAACACAATGTGAATAATATTCTCATCCCAACCAAAATATACTAACAGAGGTATATAACACCAGGAACCATTAAGCAGCAACCCAGAATCACTCGAGTGATAAGACATCTTCATACTGCCCACCCGCCCGGATGCATAGCGTAGGCCGAACGATGAGCTTCATGAAGGATAGCTTTCCGGAGCTCACCGTCGGATGGTAGGCACACACGGTCACAGGGGTTAAACCGCTATCGCATCGTGATCTGTGACCATCGTGCATAGTTTTTTTTGTGTAGCATTGATTTTGGAAGAAGTAAAAGAGTTAAGAGGACCTGAAGCCATTTGTACATTTGGGAGCGTACATACCTAAATACACATTTGTTTCCCCATATGTAGATCATTTAAATAAATGCATGTAAGCTTTGATTCAAAAGTCAAAATTTTCATCATTTAGGCTTTTCTTACTCAAAGTAATTGACTAATTGTTCATGCAGAAAATTTGATTGTAGTTTTTTTTTTTTTTGCTTTTTTGCATCTTAAGCAACCTTATCCAAGTTATCGCTCAAATTAGTTTCCATTTTGTCCATAAGTCGTCAGACTAAGTCTAACTTGTCTATTTTCCCGTAAACAAATAGGTTCAGCAAGCTCTGTTTGCTAAGCTTCGTGCACTTATTGGCTCATTGACAGATCTACTTGCATCTGTGTAGAACAATTATTATCCATTTATTACTTCTATACATTTATTTGAAATTGTTCGCCAACCCCAAACTATTTTGAGACTAAGGCTTGGATGTTGTTGTATTAATTTGAAATGGTTTCTAATCAATTATTCATTTGTACTAAAAATAAATATAGATGAGCATGAGATTTAAAACAACCTTATGAACCCTGACTTCGATAACTGGTCTGTTTTTAGTTCATGATAGAATCTGTGGCCTAGTGGGCCGAGGTAAAATGGAAACACTCAATCTGCCATTCTTGGAAAAAAAAATTGTTGGTTATTTGGACTATATGAGCTATCTGTGGCCTCGTGGGCTGAGGTAATATGACCTACTTCTCTTTTGTGGAGAAGATAACTCCAAAATAAGGTAAACTTTTATCAAGGAGAGCTATTATGCGTAATATTGTTAACTTGTCCCCTTGTTTTCTGGGATCAATTTGAATTTTAGTGTACGTCCTGTGTCCTTATTCCTGATATTAGCGTCTGAAAGCTCGTAGTAACTGGCTAATTTTCTATGGGGTGCTAACGAATCTTCACTATTCAACTTTGTATTGTTCTTGATACCAGTAAGTATTTGTGTTTTCAGGAAATCAGGCAATTATGCTCAAAACTGTTGGATCTGAAAAAAGCTTCTGCAGAGGAGATGCGCAGGAGTGTCTATGCTAACTACACTGCTTTCATTCGGTGAGTCATTTTTAGCTCACCCCTGCCCCCCCCCCCCCCCCCCCCCCTCTCTCCTATTTTTCGAGAACTAAAAGTCTATTTCTTTGTCCAATATGCAATTGCAGGACATCAAAAGAAATTTCAGATTTGGAGGGCGAGCTCTCATCAATGAGAAGCTTGTTATCCACTCAGTCTACTTTAATCAATAATTTAGCTGAAGGTGTTCTAATTGATTCTTTCTGTGATGCTCCTTCTGATCCTACCACCAATACCACTCCCAATGGTGGAACAAGGGAACCTTCAGATATAGAGAAATGGTTAATAGAGTTTCCTGATCAACTTAATGTTTTGATAGCTGAAAGAAGGGTAGACGAAGCCTTGTTAACCCTTGATGAAGGAGAATCCATAGCTTCTAAAGCTGAAGAAAGCAACACACTCAACCCTGACCTGGTTTTGTCTCTAAAAGCTACCATTGCTGAATGTAGGCAAAGGTTAGCCGATCAGCTTGCTGATATTGCTAATCAACCCTCAAGTCGTGGTTCTGAGCTTCGTGCTGCTATCTCAGCTCTTAAGAATCTTGGTGACGGTCCTCGTGCTCATACCTTATTGCTGGATGCACATTCTCAGAGATACCAATACAATATACAAAGTTTTCGCCCATCAAGCACTTCATATGGAGGAGTGTATACAGCATCACTCTCACAACTCGTATTTTCTGCTATTGCTCAAGCTGCTACTGATTCATTAGCTATTTTTGGTGAGGAACCAGCTTACACGTCTGAACTTGTAATGTGGGCTACTAAGCATACAGAGGCGTTTGCTACTCTTGTTAAAAGACATGCACTAACATCATATGCAGCTGCTGGGGGCTTAAGAGCCACTGCAGAGTGTGTCCACATTGCATTAGGACACTGTCAGTTGTTGGAAGCTCGTGGTCTTGCACTTTCCTCCGTGCTTCTAAGGCTTTTCAGGCCTACTGTTGTGCAAGCACTTGATGCCAACTTGAAATGGATTGAGGAGACTACGGCTGCTTTCGCCGCAGCTGATGATTGGGAACTCACTTATCCTCCTACTTCCATGCGTCAATCTACGGTTTATCAGTATAAACTTTCTATTAGTGCTCACCGGTTTAATTCAATGGTTCAGGTACATCTTTTCCTTGATAGTAAACAAAAGAGAACTGTTTTACACATTCATAGTATTAGTACGAGGATTGATAGGTATATGTGGATTCAAGTAAAATTTGTCTTCCCTTCTGCCCTGTTACTAGTCAGCATCCCAACTCTATCCATCCAGTGTTCTTAGGCTAGTTGGTAACCTTTATTCTGCAATACTAATTTTTAATGACTATTGTACTAAAGTGCTGCAAGCTATGTTCTAGTTATCTACCCGAAAAATAACTGAATGAAACTATAAAGGGCAATCCAGTGCGCATTGGTGTCCCTTCACATTGGCGTCCCTGCAATGTGAGGGTCTAGGGAAAGGTCCCACCACAAGGAGCAAGCCTTCCCTTGTCATTTTGACAAGAGGCCACTCCCAAGACTTTGAACCCTTGATGTCTGTATTCATCTTTATTATTACGATCATATGTGAGTATGCACCCCCACCTTGTCAACCCTGCTAAAGGAACCATTTGTTGAAAAAAACTTATTTGCTTCTAATTTAATGTTTTTAAACAATGACTGGCATGGTGTTACTGCCTTTGAGATTTCTTTAATTTGTATGCTGCTAATATCTACTGGAGGTAGATGATTGATTCAAGTTACCCCAATTGCTTGTGCAGGATTTCTTTGAGGATGTGGCCCCCCTGCAAAGTATGCAGTTGGGTTCAAGGGCTTTGGAGGGATTGTTTAAGATCTTCAAATCTTATGTAAATATGCTGATAAAAGCATTGCCTGGTTCTTTGGAAGAAGAGATTAATGATGAAGGTTCAGGAAATACAGCTGTCCGAATGGCCGAGACCGAAGCCCAGCAAATCGCTTTACTTGCCAATGCATCATTACTAGCAGATGAGCTATTGCCACGCGCAGCCATGAAACTTTCCTTCACTCAGAAGGATGAAACTCAACGGAAGCCTGATAGGCAAAGCCGACAACCTGAACAAAGGGAATGGAAAAAGCGTCTAGTTAGCGTTGTTGATAAATTAAAAGACAGTTTTTGTCAACAGCATGCGCTAGATCTTATTTTTACGGAGGAAGGAGAAAGTCATCTTACTGCAGATATGTATATAAACATGGAGGATGGTAATGCAGATGTGATGGAATGGTTCCCTTCTCACATATTCCAGGTAACTTTACCTTCTTTATCAGCATTTTTATCGTTACAATCATTATTCCCTCCATCCCCAAAAATAATTCCTATTTGAACACTTGCTTCCCCCCCAAAGATCCTATTTGAACAAAAGATGCTAATTTTCATCATATTTAATGCCTTAAAAAAGTCTCCCGAACAAGTTAAATTAGTCAAACTTAGTCAAACCAACAAATAATTTTTTAAATATAGCTGAATTTTTTAAAAAAGTCTCCTGAATTTTTTACACATTTCAATGGCTTCATATGATTGTTTATATTGTGCCATTAGGAACTGTACGTAAAGCTAAACAGAGTAGCAGAAATTGCGGCAGAGATGTTTGTGGGGCGGGAAAGGTTTGCAACATTGTTGTTGATGAGGCTCACTGAAACTGTCATCTTATGGATTTCACAAGACCAGAGTTTTTGGGATGATATTGAGGATGGACCAAAGGCTTTGGGTCCTCTTGGCCTTCAGCAGGTTTACATAATTTGTATTCTCATTCGATTTGAATATATACCATTTTATGTATTCGATGGTGATAAGGTTAATGCTTTCTTGTTTGTCTTTGTGTAGTTCTATTTGGATATGACATTTGTCAGATTCGTTGCTTCACAAGGCCGTTATTTGTCTAGGAATTTGCTCCGTGTTGTCAATGATATCATATCTAGAGCGATGGCTGCATTTTCTGCAACAGGGCTGGATCCAGACAGGTATATAAAACAAATTATTTTGGGGATAAGGGTCAGTTTGGTCCTCGAAGTTGCAAAAAAGGGGTCAAATAAGTCCTTATATAGAAAATTCTGTCCGGACGTGCTATTTGAGGTGGCTCCCGGTGGAATTTTTTGATTTAATTTTTTGAGCATCTTATTCATTAAGTCTAGTTTACTCATACCAAATTTCAGATAAAAATTCAATTAGGAAGACATTCAAATGAATTCTTGAAGATAACTGTGCCGTTAAAAGCGCAGTTATCTTCAAGAATTCATTTGAATGTCTCCCGATTGAATTTTTAGCTGAAATTTGGTATGAGTAAACTAGACTTAATGAATAAGATGCTCAAAAAATTTCATCAAAAAATTCTACCGGGAGCCACCCCAAATGGCACGTCTGGACATAATCTTCTATATAAGGACTTATTTGACCCCTTTTTTGCAACTTCGAGGACCAAACTGACCCTTTACTCAATTATTTTGTCTAGGACTAATGGGCATTTGGTGTTATAAGTATTGGTTCAGTGGATCACCCATAATCCTCTGTCTGACCTTTAGGTTTCGTTTGTGAGTAGCATTTCGAACGGGAAGATACTAGGTATTTTGTTTTTAGGGAAGTATTGTTCAGATGAGATGAATTATCAAAGTAAAAGATACTAACTCATGTTGGAGTTGGGCTGGGGAAAGGATTGGCATCCCAGATTAAGTCTCCTTTCCCTTTCGGAATATATACATAAAAATTCCACTTTGAAACTATAGATTTACCTTCTTTATGTTATGAGGAATATAAAAATGAGGGTTATTAGTAGTTTTTTTGCCCCCAAGAGGGGGTCTGAGGGAGGGCGTTGAGGGGAGCTTAGAGTAAACTTGACTGAAACTCCCTCCATAGAGTTTCGAACCCAAGACTTCCCGTATGGGAAAGTGAGTCAACGACCAGCTGAGCTAGACCGCTTTCTCAAGTTATTTGTAGAGTATTAAACACGCTTTCTTAATCTTTGCGTCCATGAAGTTTGGGACTTTGGAGAAGGGAGGGAACGATTAATACACAACAGACTTGTTAAAATTACACGCTCCATAAATTACAGCAGGAATTTCTTTTTGCAGCATTCTTCCAGAAAATGAGTGGTTCGAGGATATGTGCCAAGATGCAGTGGTTAGGCTTAGTGGAAGTGCTAAAGCCTCAAATGGGGAACGAGATTTGAGCAGTCCTACTGCTTCTGTCTCTGCCCAATCAATTTCCTCCTTTAGATCTCATGGCAGTTATTAGTGTTTGGTAATTTAATCTTCTTGCACCACCTGAACATATTTACGTATACGAGCATTTTCTATTTTTTGATGCAATAATTTTTTGCCTTTAAGCTCTTCTGTTCGGTATTTCTATGTTATTGTTAGACTTAGTTGTTACAGTAATTGTTAGTTCTTTGTACGGATGATATTATTTTCCATCTTTTAATCAATCAGCATCATTCATTTTCATGTTCTTAATAATCATTGTCTACTTCAACTAAAAATCTCAGGGGAATATAGATTGTTATTTGGATTAATTCCATTATTATTAAATTTTTCCCATTACGAATTTACGAATACTCACTTTTTGTATGACATTGTCTCTAGATCATGTGAAATACCTATTAATATTCAACTCGTTCACCCGATTGATAAGGCAAAATAACGTTTTTTGTGAATTGCACTTCTATTCTTTAGTTGCAAACTTTTATTAATTCATTACAAAAAAACAAAAGTAAGGCCGTAAGGGGGTGTTTGAATATGATTCTTAAAACTGTTTCTGCTCTCTTAAGGAGCAGAAGCAGAAATTAGAGTGTTTGGGTGAAAGTGCAGAAGTGATTATGGTGCTCTAATTGACTCATAGAATCAGTTTTTTTAGAAGTTGGAGGAGGCCAGTTTCAGAAAACTGATTATAATTCTGCTTATACTTTAAAAAAGAAGCAGAATCAGAATTACTTACAAATACCCCCTAAATGTTTCAATATTTCTGACAAGTATGAGCTTGTTTGGTAAATCTGCTTTTCGACTTATCAAACAAATCAATCAACTTTTTCACCAAACACGTAATTTTTTATTTTGTGCTTTAAATTGTGTAATAATTTAAAAAAGTGGATAATCATTTTATATTTTTAAAATATATATATTTTTTAAATCAATAGAATCAGCCCATTCAACTATTTCACCTAGTATTTCATAAATTTAAGCAAAATGGCCAAACAAGCACTATATTCTTCTCACAAGTCACAACTTGAGCAATTTAGACAATCGTTTAAGCCATTTTGAGCTTCACCAAACAGACTTCGTATGTTACTGACTAGGGGTGGTCTCAGGCCGGTCGGCCCGACCCGGGACCGGCCCGGCCCAACCCGTGGCCCGGTGGGTCCACCGGTTTGGTTTGGTCCAGCCCGGGTGCTGGGCGGTCCGGGCTCGGGCCCAGCTTTTTGTGAACCGGCCCGGTCCGGGCCGGTTTTTTAAATTTGTTTTTTATTTTTTTTTTAAGTTTTAGGTTGGATTAGGTATTTTGGGCCATTTGAGGTGGTTTGGGGTCGAGGGGGAGGGGTAGGGGGTTTAATAGGAGAACCAAAAACCAAAAAAAAATATGTGGGCCGGTTGGCCCGGCCCGGCCCGGCCCGGTTCGGCCCGGTTTGGCCCGGAACCGGAACCGGTCACCGGCGGTTCGGGCTCGGGCCTAGATTTTCTGAACCGAGGCCCGGCCGGGCCCAGGCCCGAACCGGAACCGGTCCACCCATATTACCGACCGGTCCAAAAATAAGAGCCATGCAGGCAAACCACAAGGATCAGTTCATACGAAATTCAATAAGCACATAGAGCTTTTAAATATAAATTGTACCTTTTATCTGTCAACTTGTTATAGTCATATTTACATCTTTCTAATTTATTGTACAGTCAATGGTGAGGGCCTTCGGGGCTGGAATGATATCCGTTTTTAAATTCAAAGTACTATAAATCAATCAGGAATACAAGATAATTACAGCTTAAACTTTGAAACTGTTCATCTTAGCTCCACATGTCCAAAGTGGGGGAATGCTCCCTCACAAATGCCACCAGAATGCCAGATTGGTAGTTCCAAATTCTCAATGCTGAAGATTATGGTCTCGCGAAAACTAGGCATTGTTAACATTGACAATAACAAACGTGTTTGGAATTTCTAATGGCGCGTCCATGCTTTTGATTATCTTTTTTTATTTTGGAATTACAAAATAACAAACCCAATGGATCTCTGTATTATATGATTGGAATGTGAATGCCTAACACTAGAATTAGCTTTCATTTCATTTTTAACACTAGAATTGGCTGAATCACCAAAATTTGTTTAAATTTATAAAATTCTGACGTAAGTGCCTGAATTGTTTGAATATCATGAAATATGAAAAAATTATATTTAAAGTATGCGCAGTATATTATTAAAAAATAAAGAAAATTACATGAAAAACAACTAATTCAACAAACCTCAGCCAATTCAATGAAAATAGAAGTTACGAAACGAATGTGGTATGCAATGATTATTATGTTACATACTTGCACTTGGCAGCAATAACAATCGCAATAATGAAACCTGCCAAGGTAGGATTACTAGGAGAAAACCATATCCGGTAATCCGGTTCCAATTTGGTTCTAGCCATAGCTTACTTTTTCAAAAAATAAAAAATAAAAAATATATAATGGAGGAACTAGAAGTGGTTACATGCCAAACATGGGCGCTAGTTCAGTCCCTTTTACGGTTTTACCTGCCCAGTTCTGGAACTGGGTCCAGCCTACACTAAAGTTGGGTTGCATCACTATGACAGTATAAACAAAAAAAATGATCTTATATTCAACCTCCATCCCAATTTGATGATACCATTGCGGTTTACGATGTTTGACTGACGATAAAGCAAACGGATCCCTATCCGCACACAAATTATTTTTAGAAAAAAATAATTACATATTCAGAAACTACATTAAAAGCTTTACAAAGTCGCAAAAACTTGATTCCAATTTGATAAAAATTTGATATATAAAGTAAGAGATTAAGAGTGATTTGTGTTGACCAAGTGAATAAGAACTGGTACCATCAAATTGGGACGGAGGTAGTATAAACTTTAATCACAAGAAACAATGTTGTACCTTTCAAGGGTAGACACAACTCGAACCAACTACGTTGTACATCATAACCTGTTCAGTTTTTTTAATGACATTTATAGTTGCAGTTTTTGAGATACATAGTGGAGGAAATATCACTACTGTCAAGGCATAATATACCCCATCAGAAACTTTCTTAAAACTGATTTTCTAATTTTTTTTACCTTCAAAGTGTAAGTTACACTACAAGAAACACAATTCGTCACTTGTATAAATTCAGCACAAAGCCCCAACTATCTGCTATCATAATCACACTAGGCTACATGTGGCTGATGAGAAATTCAAAACACACAGGGGAAACAGTAAATGCTAATCGCAAATTAAGTTTGGTTCCGATAATTACTTCTGATGTAAGTGGGAAAATCTTTACCTTGAAAATAAACACACGCTTTGAGGAAAACGTATGTCTCAACACCTCGTCCCAAAATAATTGGAGCACTCTCTTGCTTAAAGAACCCAATGAGAGCCGGCAAATTAACAAGGCTCCATGTTATAATGCTGATCCCCCATCCCACACATGGAGAAATTTAATATACCTGATTGAAGATATTGCATTGCTGGCTTGGCTTGATGTCCCATAACTTTGTAAACAAAACCTGCAAAAAGAACATGGGTTGGAGATTCTCTCCATCACTGTGATTTGAGAACCTGGACATTGGTGTTGAGAGTAGAAATGATCCCATCATGGAAATCTAATAATGGTAGAAATGAAAACCTCCATTGTTGATCATGACCATAGTGTAGATTTCTAGAAATATGCTAATCATGATCATGTAGATTATAATAGCAAAAGCCTATTAGTAAACAAAATCAGTGTAGATGTCTATTCAATTTGTGTCATGATGTGCAAATGATTTTTCAGTGGGAATCATTTCAAGGGCATTATGGGATGGAAAGTTAGCTAGTTGTCTGACTAAACCAGAAAATGGACAATAACAAATGTTATGAGAGTATAACAAAAGCAACATCCATGACTTCTTAAGTATTAATGGCAAAGTGAAAAGTCAAAAGCACACAATTACTACGCTACAAATTACATGTGCCCTTGCTTATATCTAACAAAAAGAACATTAACCCAATGCATTAGCTTTTTCTCGTGATGCCCCTGCTTCAAATGCATGCTCTGGATAACAAACTATAATATGCTAATGATGATGCCACGGTTTGCATTCATTGACACACATAAGAAGAGATGCTAATGCTGATGATGACTTGATGACATGAAACAGCTGGCATGATGCATCCTATCATGTAAGGATTTGTATTTGTCATAACATAGAGAACAGAATACATCCCCTTCTTCCAGCTACTGGTATGTCATCGGTGGAGCTCCGTTTGCAGCATCAGGAGCAGGAGCAAGAGCAGGAACAGGAACAGGAGCCGGACCAGGTGCAGGGGCAGGGGCCATGTTGTTGAAATCCCTCCTTTTCCCAAATGGATTCTTTGAATATGTAACTACATGTTAAGGAAAACCTTTGACATCCATGTGAAAATTCTCTGCTTTGAGGGCATAGTACTATAAGTTGTGCACAAAAACACCATATGCTTCCCTACCTAAAACAGTTATGACTTGTGACAATCTTTTTCCAAATTTTTTTAATATTAGAAAAATCAATATTCACAAGGAAAATTTTATATCCCATAACCAGATGAAAAAAGTATCAATGGTCTATGGCATCAAAGTTTAATGATTTTGAAGCATATTAAGAGAAAGAGATAAATTTGCAGTCACAGTGTGACTCTGGGGAAGCAAGCTATCACATGCAAAATAGCAAATATAGGGCAGTGTGTCTTTTGAAATTAACCCCCTTGGTGCAATATTTAAAAGGGAACAATGGGAAGATGTAGAAAGGATATTGAATTCGCATGCCAACAGAACCAGAACTAGGTATAACAGCACCCTGCAATGTCTGGTGCACATTCGTAGCACTCTGCACATCCTGAACAATGATGTGACATGAAAATGATGAGGGGAAACATAGATATCAGAAACTTCGTCATAAAATAACTAGAACAAGTATCTGAAAGCAGCTTCAACTGCATGGCAGGTATAAACTTACTTCAAACTCAATGAAACATACAGTATGCCTGTCTTGTCTCAATACCTTCATCTGCTTATAACCAGGTTGACTGTCCACAAAAATAACAAAAAAAAAAAAGATATTAACGGGAGTGAAAATGTGTTAGAAGACAATGCAGATTAAAAAGATGAAAAAATCCAAGGTGCATACCCAGTGAAAAGGCCCCTCAACTCTTCCTCATTTATGTTTTCTCCAAGATTTCCAATGAAAAGTGTATTGCAAGGAGGGTTGTCTTTCATATTCTACAAGTTTAAACTAGTCACAAACAACTTGCATAAGCAGGAAAAAACTAAAAATGCACGCACTGTTGTCACACAGTACCTGGACAGGCACATAGCTGCTTGGTGAAGCATGTATAGGAGCAGGAACAGGCATTGGAACAGGCTGGACATGGTAACCAGCATATGGATCATATGGTTGAGGTGGTGGGGTCATGTACCTGAGCAATATATTGGTATATTACTATGTAGATTCGCGATAAAGCATGATGACAATGATACAAGCCATCTGACTGACTTAAATTCAGTGCACTGATCATTAGATGCAGGATGATTCTTACGCTTGTGGGCCCCAAACAGGTGCAGGAGGAGGGTGAAAAGGAGATGGGCTGGCATACCCAGTATGCGTATAATCACCGCCAGTCCGCATCCGTTTGCTCTGGTCATAAGCATTTGAATCGGTGACAATTCCTGTGCATGGGTGATTATTAACAGAAATAAATAGTTAGAAAAAAAATGTGCGCTGGTTTATGATTAATGATACTCCCACTGTTCTACTACAATGTGAATCAGCTCTCCACAGTGCATAACATAGTGCACTTTGAGGAAACAGCATAAACTGAAAAGAAAATTACTTTCCTAGTAGTAAAAATTCCCTCATCGCAAGCTACATTATAGATGGGTCTTATTTTACATGCATATACAATAGACTTGCATGCAATGAGAGACCAACCTCAAGCATAAGAATGGATATACAAAAAACTACCTCTTTTGACAAACAGATTCTTCTTTGCCATCTCAGTGTGAAGTACAGATTTTGACTCCGTGTCGAAAACCATATCCTACACTTGAAACGTTTAATAAGGAAAAAATCTAATGAAAATTATTAGAAACGCAATTTGCTTAAGATAGGCCAGTAATTGCCTGAAGGGCATCCTTGGCTGCAATGGCAAACTGGTGATTGGAGAAAAGTGCGAAACCCATGGGGTGCTCTCCTTTGAAGTTGACCTGAGATGCTTCATAACCTGGCAGCCACCTAAGAAGGTTCTGGAGCTCCCTCTCCTTCACGTCCTCCGGCAGCCCAGAGATAAATACAGTTCGCACCTAAAATCCAAGCATCATAACGCGCCAAAATCAGCGCGCGCGCAACAGAAAAGAGAACATTTTATTGCGTTCGCTGTTACCTCGTCTCCCATGAGATTATTAGGGTCGTTGAGAGGCATTGGTGAAGGCTGAGGAAGAGCGTGAAGATGTGGCGGAGGAGGTGGTGGCGCCACGGCGGGAGGTGGGGCTGGAGCCCATTGCTGGTGATATTGGTGCATCCCGTCCATCAATCAGGAATCAATTGATCGATTCCTAAAAAACCCTAAAAAGGTAGGCGAATCGAATGCAAGCAGTTCTTCAAGGCGCTCTTATGCTGAGATTTATCTTGGGGCCCCATAGTTTATGAAGGAGATTAATCATTTAATACTTTCTCCTTTCTTGAATAAATGCAATGGTCAAAGTTTCACACTTGTCAAGACATAACTTTGAACATTAATATATCTAATTCTGTGTTAGTAAAATAAATCAAAAATTAGATTTTGAAAATTTACAATGAGACAAATTTAACAATATTTTTTTCATAAAATAATATCGATACATTAATAAATAAAACGTAGTCAAAGTAGAACATGTGAATAATGTAAAATTTCATATATTGCATTTATTTAAGAACAGAGGCAGTACTACATAGTAATATGTGGTTCTGTCACTTTCCTATTAAAGCAACTAATTTGTAGTTCTGCACATTTTTCTCTCCTCTGCACAAATTTAAACCACACATTTTTTAATATTCTTATTTCTCACATACCTTGCACTTGACAAAGCCCAACGGGACGGAGGAATAATTTTTTAAAAGGAAAAATGCTTATATTAATATCATTATGATTCGGTTTGTTACATTAAACTCCAAGAGAAATTCTGACTATAACTATCTGTAACCAACTATCACTATCAACTCTACGGCTAGACTTAGAAACGATCACCCCTGAAACAGCAATATGAATCGCTAATCACCAACCGATGTGTGACACAACAATCACTGGTCGCATAGATCCTTTTAACGACATAACACCTGGCAGAATTGTTAATCATTATTATAGACCTAAAATTAAAGACATCAACAAAACATAGAGAAACACAAACAAACATAATGCAAAAATAAAACTCATTCTTCCAAGCCTTTAGTTTCTTGAAACATCATCTTCCAAGCCCTGACACCTTGATCTCTCCAAGGTGGCGGTTCAGGAGGGGGCGGCGCCATCGATCTGTCTTCTCCCTTCTTCAACCCTTAATCGCTCCTCGTCTACTCGTCACCCATGCCGCCTCCTAATATGTCTTCGCCCATGATAATCTTCAGGTTGTGGTCTTGATCCACCAACTCCTCCATTGGACTAACCCATAAAGCTTCGACGCACGTTGTCTCCTTGAAATCCATGAAAACTCAACCCTTCCTGCTTGTATATCTCACTCTTTCATGCGTTGTTAATCGTCGAAGCACAAGAAGAGAAAAAACACTCACACGGTCATAATTCTCTAGAGGGAGGGAGGGAGGGAGGGGGAGGGGGAGAGGGGGGGGGGGGAGAGGGAGGGAGGGAGGGGAGGGAGGGAGGGAGAATTAGGGTTCACTGTATTTTTTAAAAAACATACTGTTTTTTGTCAAGAAGAAATTTCATAAATTATTTTTTAAAAATGAGGTGGACAAAAATATTACACAATAACTATTAATTACTATAATTGTGTTTAAACCTACATTGTAGCAGTTATATATAAATTTCTACGATATAAACTTTGAACACAATTATGATGTTTTTACTTGGATTGAAATTTGTTAGTCTGGTCTGGCCTGGTCTGAATTGGTCTGGTCTTGTCTGATAATGTATGGTCTCTGTGTAATTTATAACTATGAAAGTTTAATTTGATCTGGTATGGTCTGAGACTGAAAATCAGTCAAAGTAAAAATGTCATTATGGTCACTAATTACGTAGTACTAAGTATTATTGTTGTCCATGACGTTTTTATTAATAATATTCAAGGAAAACCCCATATTATCAATCAATCAATATATAAGGAGAAGCAGGAACAACTAATATTCTACAATATTCTACAAGTTTAGAAAACTATGCACAAAACACTCCCGTAGTACTTTTTAGTTAATTAATTGATTTATTAAACTAAATTTATGCACAAGTTTTGTGGAATTGCATTGTTTATTGGCAAATTATTGCTTATTTTTTATCACACTGCATACCATTAGAATCTAGTGCAGAAGATAGATGGAATCAAAAGATAAAAAAACTCAAACAACTTTAGAGTCCAGAAAAGAGTCATGTGAAAATTGAGGAGCTATTGTACTATTGCATTATAATAATGAGGTCAATTACCTATTGAGCTGTAACCAAGTGATCAAGATGAAACTTACCATGAGAAAATAATTATATGGCAAAAGAGATATACCAAACATGCGTTTTTCTGTTATCCAGATTAACTAATCTCATATGACTCACATAACTATGAAAATATGTACACATCCATGTACATATATCTATCCAATCCCATCTATCTAACCACAAAACAAAATACAACACTGCGTGTATGTCTATATACTTGACTAACTTCTTAGCTCACTCTTTCTCTCAGCATCAACAAACCAGCATGCCTGCAAATACACCAACCACATTAGTAAGCCATAAGGAGTGAATTGTGTTAAAAAAGCAAAAAAGAGACACAAAATGAAAAAGTGAAGCAAAATGCTAGACTCCCACTTTCTTTCTCACCAAACCTAATATAGATACTCCTAAGATCTTTAAAATGTATTTTAATTAATAAAAAACTTCAACATTACTAATCTATGTTCATTGTTTGATAACAAAGTTGGTTGATGACCAATGAGTGGAAAAAAGATTGCAACAGACTTTGAAAGATGTTTTTAATTGACTTGGTTTCAATCAGACCATACTTAAATAAACTATAACATACCAGATCAGACTTCAACAATTGTAAAATGCACATAAAACATACATCTTACAAACCAGATTAGACCAAACTAGATTTAAATTAACCGATTTAGATAAATAACATTCAATCTAATCTAATTTAAAACATTCCCAACCCAAATGTACTTATAGTGGTAGGAGGGTGAATCCACAATTTTTTAATGAATGGTGATAAAATTGAATTCAACCAAACCAAGCTACCCATTAATAGTCTATACTCTATACTGACTATACATGTTATTGACAGTCAAAATAACAACACGGAGTAAAAACAATGAATACGGAGTAAATTTTTTTTTTATATTATTGAAAAGAGTAAAAATAATTATTACCGTCCGAGCATGAGAAGAGTGGCTTGAGGATTTGTCCCCGGAGAAACAGTAAAAGTGGAGCCGTCGATGATTCTCAGGCTATCAATTCCGATCATTCTCAGATCCCCATCCACCACTCTCCCAACAACACAGCCGCCGTGGTAATGCCATATTGTACTAACAGTCCGACGGCAGAACTCCGCCATGCTAGCATCGCTGGATTGGTTCACCGGCAACGCCGGTCCAACGTACCGGAAATCCCTTCCGCCGAATCTCTGATCAAACTTGTAAACCTCCATTGATCGAGTGTTCAGCAAATCCCCGAGCTTCCTGGTCCCGTTCACGCACCTCTGCAAATCCCCAGGGTCGCTGAAGTAATTGAAGCGGACCACCGGGTTGACCCGGACATCTGGCGAAGCCAGTCTGAGTGACCCGACGGAAGCTGGGCCGGAGATCTTCTGCATAAGGGTCGCCACGGCCAGGTAGACTGGTGACGCCGGAGCTCTGATGAAGATTGAGTTGATGGGGGAGGCGAAGGGGATGAAATTGGAGGCGGCTTCGAGGTAAGAGCCGGTTCCGGTGATGCCCACCACCTGTATGAGAGAATACTCCAAAGGGATTGGAGGGACGATTGAGATTCCATTTCTGGGATTGTCGTAGACGAATTGTCCGACGTATGGTGAGTGGTGGGCGACGGGGATTCCCAGAGAAGAGAGGTATAATCTCGGCCCGATTCCGCTCAGTAGAAGCAGCTGCGGGCTGCCCAGAGCTCCGGCGGTCAGCAGAACCTCGCCGTTATCCTTCACCATCGCGTGGTGGTACTGCCCGATCCGGTCCCGGAAAATCACCCCAATCGCGGCTTGTTTGGATTCCGGTGAAGCGGAGGTTGCCGCCAGAAGAATCCTCTCCACGTAGGCGTACACGACCACCCGGATGTTGCTGGAGTTTGAGAAGAACAGCAGGTCCGCCGCGCTGTGACGGCGGCCGGAGTTGTCGAAGGTGGACGCACCGATTTTGGTGCCAAGAACGTGGTGCAAGGTGAACCCATTGTAAGGGTCGATCCGGGCTTCCAGCATCCCGTCCCTCACCGCCGATTGCCAGCTCTTGAGCTCCGGCCGGAAAACGATGGACCTCTCCACCCACTCGTACGACTGGTTCACCAAATTGAAATCCCAGTTGATCCCAGAGCTTGCGTAGAACTCTTCGTCGGCTCTGCTGTAGAACCCGGCGTTGATGGCGCTGCTGCCGCCGAGAACGCGGCCGCGCGCGTTTGGGACGCCGTCTTCGGAGATGAATGTCTGGGCGGGAGAGTCGAAGGCGTCGACTTCGGATAAGGCGGCCAGAAACCCCTCTTGGGTCATCAAGTTGGGGTTCCCAAACGGAACGCCGCCTCTTTCAAGAACCAGGACCTTATATTTCTCCGACAACGTCGCCGCCAGGGGACAACCGGCGGTTCCGCCTCCGACGACGATGTAATCATAGTAGTCCTCTGACGGCATCTCTACTGCATCCACCACAAAATCCATATAAAAGGAATCTGTAAATGTGAAGAAGAGGGAGAAAAATCAAGACTTTGAATCACGATAATGATATATAGTTTCGACGCAGACAAGAAACTTGATTCAACCGGAAAATCAAGAAACGATAAAGATCCGGAAATGTGTGATGTGATTTGCTCTGGGATTAAATTATCAGAAGAATTACCTTGTTGAGAGACTGAGTTGGGCAGAGAGATGAGGGTGAACAGAAAAAGGAAACCGAGTTGGATGAGTTGAATCAGTTTCACCATTGTTGCAGTGATGATGATGGTGAAGGCTATATGTGGGGCAACAATGGCGGAAGTGAGGAGCTTCCCCTTTTTGGCGGGAAATCCCGTTGGGTTTGAATAATCTGAATCTATCGACTGGTTGAAGAAAAACGGAGCGGTGGTGGCAGGTAGTTGGGATGGCTCCGCCCAAACTCATTCTTAAGTTTGCCGGAGGGGATTATTCGTTTCAAACCCATTCTCAAAAGTTCATATAAAGCCAGAAGATTTTTTGAAGTGCGGAAAAACATGCCCCAAAACCCCCAAGTCGCTGGCTATATTTGGAATTGATTCTCTTTTATCTCTTTTATTTGTTTCGAAAGTAGAAATAAAATTAGAATCATTTTTTCAAAAGTTATTCATCTCCAACTGTATGAGCTATTTTTAGAAGCAATTCGAAACACTTTTACCCAAATATTATAATGTTCGTTTTTGTTCCATGGAAGAGTAGAAAAAGTTTTAAATAACAGACCCCAAACATCCATCCAAACATCCCTAAGTTTTAAATTGAATTAATATCAAATCAGATCAAATTAGAACAAATTGAAGAAAGCCTGATCAAATCAAGTCAAACTAGATTTAGATAATTGTAGAATATATACTCTGTATAAAACACAGATCTATCGAAGAAGATTAAATCAGGCCTGATCATGTATATGAAAAAGAACACATTCAATTAAAAACATCCTCTACATACCACTCCATACTTTGCGACTTTGTGTTGATGTTAAGTCCTCAGACTTCGAGAGCTCAACGCGTTTTTTCGAGTTTCGTTGGATCTTTTATAACTGGATATATTAGAGTATTTAACTAACAAGTAGATGACAATAGAGTAAAGGAAAATGGAGAAGATAAAGTGTGTCAGGTCCTATTTAATTAATATAGAACGATTACGAAACAGTATCGAGTTTGAGCCCCCTTAATATCTAGTTTTGGACTGAGAGTTTACAAAAGGCATATAGAGAGAAGTTAAGTTATTGAATGCAAGTTTATCAACCTTTTTTATAATGAAATAAGTGTAAATATTTATACTACAAGGTAATATGTGAGAATATGCTGTGGTGAGTCTTAGTGGCTAATTCTCAACCATTAAACCTCTCATAGCTAGAACATTAAATGCGCTTCTCGTCAATTTACCGATAGAGCAGAGTAAGCAGACCAATTACCGTGAAAGCTGCAATGAGAACACCTAAGTGTTGCCCCTCGTCCGGGATGTACCGAGCGAGATGAGTATCTTGACCGAGCCTAGCCATGATTCCCATGAACAAACTTTTGATCATATTTAACCTTTTGTAGTGAATGAGTATTTTCACTTAGATCAATGTCAGACTAGACAAAGGTTTCTGGTTGACACTTTGTGAAAAGAGATCAATTCTCACACCCTATTTTTAGTTGTTAACAATCTTATTCTCCACTCTTCCCATTTTCAGTTCATCATTTCATTCAGAGATTATTATCATTTACATATTACTATTTGAGAAAAAGATTATCTATAACATTATACCTTAACTATGGCATATTAAAATTAATAGGAAAATTTGATAGTAATAATTCCAACTATTGGCGGTCCGCTCATAATAATCCCAACTATTGATTATTACAGAATAATCCCAACTATTAATTATTACAGAATAATCCCAACTTTAGGGACCTTCCGCCAATAATGGTCCCTATGAATAAATTCTTGTAGTTTCTAAAGTGGATGAGATGAGATATAACAAGTAATCCCTATAAATAATCTCAACTTTTAATTTTTACGCTTAATTTCTATTTAAAATTCACTTTTTATAGAGGTAATATATGGTCATGGACCATTATTGACGGATAGTCTATATAGTTGGGATTATACAAAAATAATCAATAGTTGGGATTATTTTCAGCGGACCAGCAATAGTTGGGATTATTATTTTCAATTTTTCCAAATTAATATACTACTTGGTGTAATATATTACAATTATTTTGAATTACCATATTATATTACATCTTAACACAAATTATTTTTTTAAAAACATTCTCAAATTATCTTATTTATTTATTTATTTATTTGATTATTTCTAAAAAATATCTTCACTGGATTTTCTCTTGGAAATTATCTTATTTAATTATTTCTAAATAAATATATTTACCGGATTTTCTCTAGGAAACTGTCTTCTGGTTTTACTCCATTTAATTATTTCTATAAAAACATCCTTACTGGATTTTCTCTAGGAAATTATCTTATTTAATTATTTCTAAAAAAACATCTTTACTGGATTTTCTCTAGTATAATCTACTCCGTAGTTACTGGAATTGGTAAATTGGCGATGATGAAAGCTGACGAATTGGCAGTCATTTGTGTAGCGCCTTGTTGAGTTTAAGCTTCAACACAGAGTAGGGGCTTGAGCTGTTTCGAGGAAGCTTCGTCGTCCTCTACTTTTCTAGTTTTCTTATCTGAGCTCTTATTTACCTACTTTCCGGCGTCTTAACGGCGGGCATCTCTCTCCGTTCTTAGCAAAAACAAAACAGATCCTTGCTTCTGCTATCCTCTCTCCACACACACAGTAGCAAAATGATACATGATACACACAACTAGTTAGCTGGCTTTGGTGTCTACTCTTTTTCGTACTCTAATCCGAAAGCTCGAATCAGTTGAAAAGGAGAATCAGCAATTTTCAATTCTCAACCCGGTAAAAGTTCACCTTTCTGACTTGCTATAGCCTTTTGTCTTATTTGGTTCATTTCAATTTTCAAGGAACGCCGGATCTGCTCGTTTATTGTTCGCGCCGATTCACTTGGACTCATGATTGAATTGAGTGCGCTTTTCTGATTAAACGTTTTAATTGCAACATTTCTGTTCCATAGTGAGAGAATTTTCAGCGCTGGTCATGAGGAAATTATCCAAAGCTTTTAATGCCGTGTAGGCTCTTTTTGCTGTATTCAGTCTTTGATTATTTTGCTCACTTCCAATCCACTTCGTATACTAATATTCATTTTGGGCAGTCTGAGTGTGACACGATTGGTTAAGCTCAACTACAACAAATTTACCCAGAGAAGGCCATTTGGTTATCTGCTGGTTTAATAGTGTGCTGTAATTCATCACGCCTGAAGTTCTGTGCATTTAGGACATTGGATGGGTTGTTGATACAGAAGTGTTACGATGGGATCTGCAGGGGTTAGTCTTGATCTTGAATCTGATGAGATCCCCCTGAGCTCATCTCATAGAATAAGTAAAATCGAAACTTTGCATTATGAAGCGCCTCATAATCATATTCCGTGGACCAGAGCTTTTTCATCTTCAAGATTCTTTAGAACAATGAATCAGAATACTGCTCTCAGAAGTATTTACATCATTCTAATAAAAGCAAAGATCAATGTGTTGCTTCCTTTTGGCCCACTAGCAATATTGCTGCACTATGTCACTGGGAAGCATGTAAGATTTCTTTTGGCATGTCCTACTCAGTGTCTTCTAGTTAGAGCATTTGGACCAAATTAGCACGCACAAATGTGGTCAATGGCTTGCTATATATGGTGCTCTCTTATATTGCAGGCCTGGGTATTTTTTTTCAGCTTATTGGGCATTACACCATTAGCTGAGCGCCTAGGATATGCTACAGAGTATGTTCATACATCCGATGTTGTATTTTTAATCTAAATCTATTCTGTTTGGGTTAGCTTCTTCCCAGTTCTCATTTACATTTTCACTAACTTATGCTACAGGCAGCTGTCGTTTTATACCGGGCCAACAGGTATTGTATCTCACTTTCATGCACATCTTTGATTACCTAGGCAGGACAATATTGAAGTGGCGTTTTTTTAGTTCAACGACAAATTGATATTTCACACTATCACCCTCAGTTGAGTTACAAATAGTTAAGTTAATTTCCGGATCACATTCTGATTTCTGATGGTTAAGTTGTGTATCACTTGTAATTTGACAATGCTGGATATGACATCATATCTATAAAGTTGCACGTTGAAGTTTGGTGTTGCTGATACTCTGACAGATCATTAGGTTGAGCCATGTAATTCATTAGACAATGGATGTTAGGAACATCAAACATTCCCTTACCTTACCCCCCACCAGAAAATATAGTTTATCTGTAGACATGACTCTTTAGTGCAGGCACCCACACACGCAATCACCTTAATTCAAGTAGTCAACTGCTTCTGTGGTACTGTTTATGATCTAAAAATCAGTGCTGGATCTGATTTTCTTGCATGAACACATTTGCCAAGTATGGTTCCGCTACCAGAGTTTGTCATTTCCTGAAATCCATTTCATCTCTTTTTTCACCAAGACTCATATTTCTGTATCATATCCGTGTCTTGCTTTTTGTGTGCTTTTGGATCAACATCAAATGTTTCTGTTCATATTTATATGCCTATTGGTGTTTTATTATGCCAGATTGTTTTTTTTACCAGTCTGCTTCACTGACTCACTATCTTTGAATGTGCAGTTGGTGGCCTTCTAAATGCTACTTTTGGCAATGCTACTGAAATGATAATTTCAATATATGCATTGAAGAATGATATGATGAGGGTTGTTAAACAATCATTGCTGGGTTCCATTTTATCAAATATGCTGTTAGTTCTTGGGTGTGCCTTCTTCTGTGGTGGGATTAGGCATTACAAAAAAGTCCAGGTTTTTGACAAGGTAGGAAATGCCCATACGAATAAATAAACTGTAGTCACTGTGAATGTCTTGTAATATTTTGAGTACTTCTTGGTCTTTATTGTTGTGTATTCACATTGATATATTGCAGGCAAGTGCTATTGTAAGTTCTGGGTTATTATTGATGGCAGTGATGGGCTTACTGTTTCCTGCAGTGCTTCACTTCACTCACACAGAGGTCCACTTTGGGAAGTCAGAGCTAGCTCTTTCTAGATTCAGCAGCTGTGTAATGCTAGTGGCATATGCTAGCTATCTATTTTTTCAGCTCAAGAGTGAGAGAAATTTGTACAGTTCCACTGATGAGGTGAATAAGTAATATCCTTATATTTGGTCTGTCTTTCTTATTTATATTCCCATTGTGTATAGTTCATCCAAAGGTATTTGCGCCACATGGTTATGCGAACACTAGCCTTAGCTACGGAGTATACTGCCATTGTTCAACACTTTCACTTCTACTCTTCCAACAGTTTGTGATGAAATGCAACAGAAATAGATATGAGTTGGTTCAGCATGGTTCATCCATACCAGATCCTGGGCTATGAAATTCTTTGTCCAGTGCCTCCCAAAAAGTGGGGCAGGACCTGGGGGGTGTAAGGCTGGCCCCCCTCTGTACACACTAGTCAATTAATCAATTCATCAATTAATATGCTGTTCCACTGTTCGTTCCAGAACCACAGTGAACTGCCTGAACCAGAATTGTCAGTTCTGGCCCAGAATCATGGGCATGTTTCAGAAGTTGCCCGCAGATATTCTGAAGGCAACGTTTAATACTCCGTGTAACATTGACATATGTCCAGGAGGGAGAATCTAATTCTGAAGGATCTGAGGAAGAAGAAGCCCCTGAGATCACACACTGGGAAGCCATTGGCTGGCTTGCTATTTTGACTATATGGATTTCTGTATTATCTGGTTATCTTGTTGATGCTATCGAGGTAAGATTATTTTGCTTTCTTCTGTTTTTTATCTTCTTCAAGAGATGCTGAGACATCAGTTTAAAAATTTCCTCTCTTAAATTTTTGGCTTTCTTCTTCAAATCTTAAAAAAATGTCATTTTTGTTTATGTGTTGTGAATTTTGAATTTAAGATTTTCTACGCTTTAGGGTCTGAAATATTGGTTAACTCCTCTAGTTGTTGTTGTTATTAATTTTAGTAATACTACACATGCCCCCCTCGTACTCCATTTTTTTCACGTGGTAAATCCTGATTGGCTCAATAACGGGCTCCACATCTTTTTTTCATTCACTTCTTCCCAAATAAGCCATGTCACATGTGGCATGTGTGATTTTATGCTCCATGAAGGACACTTCATATTTTTATAAAAGATTTAGCCTTAAAATCCATTCTAGTTGTAGACTTGTAGCTACTTTGATCTGACAAAATATTGTTATTGCTTGGGAGATTTGATTTTTAGATGACTTCTTTGTAACTTGTCCTGACCACTTACATGATTCCTTTTTAAAGGGAGCATCTGCCTCAATGAATATGCCTGTCGCTTTTATAAGTGTGATCTTGCTTCCAATTGTGGGGAATGCTGCAGAGCATGCGAGTGCAATCATGTTTGCAATGAAAGACAAGCTGGTGAGGATGGCTCTAAAATATCTATAATGTCCTTTTCTGCTTATTTGTTACAATGTGAGTAAAGAATACCATCTTTATTCAGGATATAACACTTGGAGTAGCAATTGGGTCATCCACTCAGATATCAATGTTTGTGGTAAGTCCGTTAATTACATCTTGGCACTCCTTTGGCCAACTGACTACATTTTATCATCATCATCTAAATTCAAATTAGTTGTTTTTAGTGGCATAAACTTTATAGTGCCAACTAATTCTTAAAATTAGTTAACACTATTAATTCATGCAAATAGAAACAAAATTTTACTTCGCGTGTCTTTCCCGTTTCAAATTATAGGGGAGTGATGAGATAGACATATCAAAACTGACATCATCAAATTATTTCCTCTTGCATGGAAAGTTAAGATAATTGCTATAGGCATGTCCCGTTGCAGGTTAAATATCATAAAGTGACTTAGTTTAGTTTCTTGAAAAGGAGATTACCCTTCTCCCATTACAATCCTTTTTATATTTGCACTGTTTGCCCGGTTTTTATTGTGGGGGTAGGTAAGCTCCGAAATATGTTGGGGCCAGACAAGCGCTTACTAGGTGCTTCTAGGGTTCTAGCTTAGGGTTGTCTTTAGAGCTTTCATATAGTCATACCATAAGGACTTCGAGTCAGCTTAAATAGTTAAATGTTTAAAATCTTACTTCGTATGTGTAAACTGATGAAGCTTGTTCTTTTGAAAATGCAGATTCCATTCTGTGTAGTTGTGGGGTGGTTCATGGGGAAGCCTATGGACTTGAACTTCCAACTTTTTGAGACTGCAACACTTTTTATTACAGTGCTAGTGGTAGCATTTATGCTGCAGGTTTGTTCTTCTATCTCATTTCAAAGGACCCTACCCTTTGATAAATTACAGAAAAAGGTGAAAAAGGTAGTTAGTAATTAATTGTCTTGTTTGGTGCAGGAAGGGACATCAAACTACTTTAAAGGGTTGATGCTTATACTATGCTACCTCATTGTTGCTGCAAGCTTCTTTGTGCATGTTGATCTTCCATATGGTCAGCCTCAGTATACCATTTAGATCATTAATCTATGAAGCTTGACATCCTTTGGTTTACTTAGTACTGCACAGTTATTGCGGAGTAATAATTTCATGTTTCTACATTTTTGCACTTCCTCATTTGGTAGTGGAAGATTGTTGGAACATGATGATTGCCCAGTTATTCCTTTGTTGTTTGTATTTTCAATGTCTTTAGGAAAACTACATGTAATGTCAACTAGTAAAATCTCTTTTCCTTGCAGGTGCAGACTAATGTTGATGCCACGTCAGTTGCCTGCCCTACAAAGCAGCACTGTTTTTATACATAAAGAGATGTAAACCTCTGGACAAGGAAGTGACAGTTTGAAAAGCTTATTTGTCACACACACACGCCCACGGCTTTTCAAACATATATACTTTCTGGCATTGTGTGATATATGTGTGTGTGTATATATGCATGCATGCATGCATGTATAATGCAAATCCTATTTATCAATGTAAGAGAGCAGTCACGATCTTCTACTAGAAGAAAATAGGATCAGACATACAGCGGACATCGTCCTGGCAAAGGCGCGGTGGTTATCTTACATAGACTATTCCCATAGTCAGGCATTGAAAGTGTAATATTTTTTGTCATCATTTCATAGAATTTGAGTATCCTTTGTTCATATCATCTGCGGTAATGTGTTTCTCCCTTCTGCCTTCTCTCTTTGTTCTATGGTTGTATACGAAATTACGAACAGTAGTAGGGGTGGACTCGGGCCGGGCGGCCCGACCCGGAACCGGCCCGGTTACTGTTTGGCCCGGCCCGGGGCCTGGTGGGTCCAGCGGTTCGGTTTGGCCCGGCCCGGGTGATGGGCGGTCCGGGCTCGGGCCCTGCTTTAGGCGAACCGGCCCGGCCGGTTCGGGCCCGGTCCGGGCCGGATTTTTTTTTTTTTTGAAATTTTTTTAAGTTTTGGGTTGGATTAGGTATTTTGGGCCATTTGAGGTGGTTTGGGGTTGAGGGGGAGGGGTAGGGGGTTAAATAGGAGAACAAAAAAAAAAATAAGAACCGGTTTGGCCCGGCCCGGTTTGGCCCGGAACCGGCCACCGGCGGTTCGGGCTCGGGCCCTAATTTTCTGGCCCGAGGCCCGGCCGGGCCCGAACCGGGCCCGAACCGGACCGAGTCCAGCCATAAACAGTAGTAATAATAATGTTTTGGAACTACTTGGAACAGTTGGAAGGCTATACAAAGAAGATATGCCATATGTCAATCTGAAATCTTCTCGGTGGAAGTAATATGGGTAGGATCTGATTATCCCAAGCTCCCAATCTGTTTCCTTCATAGTTCATACAGTAATATTCCTCAAATTCCAAATACCTCTTTAATCAATGAAACCTCGATACTTGTTGTAATTACTACTCTGTTTCCTTCATAGTTTTTATGTCGTGCGTTGTGCGATAATGTCCATATTTTTTTTTTGCACATGATAACAAAATGATTACTTAATTCAAAAACATGATTGTCAAACACGTAACATAATTACCAAACAATATGAACCCGAAAGCGCGATAATGTCCACTAAATTTATAAAAACTGCTTTTAGTTAGTATTAAAATGACAACAATAGACTTCCTAGCTATTGAAATCAAATGATTTGAATTAGGCAGAACAAATAAATTTGATCAAGATAAATTGTCAAAGTATTATCCAAAAATGAATGGTTGCTTATTAATTTTTTGAGATACAGAGCTACTATGTCTCGTATAAACACCAAATAATGACATAAATAATATTCCTGACTTTTGAGTAGACAAATATAGTACGAAAAAATTTCACTTTTGGTCCCATGAGCATTATACCACTTTTGCATTGTGTATCTGACTTTCAATTTGTCCACATCTAGTGCCAACATTTTTGCCCGTTCCCACTCATCGTCCTTCTGACCAAAACTCCCACGGATTTCACCTTTTAAAAATGAGAAAAGGGGAAAATAAGCCATTGAATTATTTGCAATTCTGCAATCAGAACCATGAACCGGAAGACTTGCAGGTATACCTTTCAACTCATTGAAACTTAAGCAATCACATCCTTTTTACCTGCTAGTGCCGGTAATTTCTCATCTCCTTACCTGCACCAGCTGGTAAAAAAAATCTAATTGCTTAATTTTCAAAGAGTTGATGGGTGTATTTGCAAGTCTTCCGGTTCAGGGGCCTCATTGCATAATCACAAATAGTTCAAGGTCTTATTTGCCTCTTTTCTCTTTAAAAATTTAAACGACAAACTATAAGGTTATTTGAGTAATTACACTTTCTTAAAACGGCTAAAAGCCCCACAAGCCATTCTCCGTCTACCTTATGCACTTACTCTCTCTTCTTGGAACTGAAGTATTCTTCCTCTGAAGTTATTCTTTTGGTGAATGTGACGAACTCTAATACCTTACCAGTGAATGAGGACCCGCCCGGCTGGAGTGTTTGCAATTGGAATGGGGCGCAGATTACATGGACAAGGAACAAGTGCTCAAGAAAGTTCTCCATCAAATGTTGGTGTTCATGGTAAGTTTGTTGAACTTAAGTACAAAATTTCTGTGTGCACATGATAGGGTATGCTTTTGGGCAAGGAGGGTAGGGTTTTCTGTTTTTGCTGAGAATATCTTTTCCCTTTATTTTTTGGATTTAACAAATGGGACCAAATTCTTTTTCCTTTTCCCTTTACTTACTATGATTGAACTATCACATTAAGTGTTTTTTATGCAGGCCCCTGTGAAACCACATTTACTCTAAAGTTGAGGTACGAAGGAATAGTCAATAAGACAAGTAGACCATCTTACATGGGAGGTACTACGCATTTGTTTTCTGATGTAGGTGTGGATGAGTTTGGCTTAATTGTGTTGAATGAGAAACTATGAGAACTTGATTGCACAAAGAAGTTAAGAAGAGTAATTTCCTATTCAGATTCTTCAGCAAATGAACTGAAAGGTGACTCTGAAATTTGAACCTTTGTGAGTAATGGTAATGTCGGTAAAATTGGCGAGTTATGAGTTGAATTAGAAGAAGTAGATGAGAGTGGAGATGCAGATGATGACCTCTCTGATAGTGATTTTACTTACAGCGAGAAGGACCTAGAAGTCTTTTCAGGGGATGATGAAGATTCTAATCTAGGAGACTTCATATGTGAAGACGATGCTGATTATGCAAAAAACATAGATCCAACAGCTGAATATGGAGGCCTGCACACCAACAATGAAAGATATAACATAGAAACTGAACCTCAGTGGTAGACCCTGATCCAAATATGTTTGATGATGCTTCCATACATGATTATGATCCAGATGCTGAAAAGTGGAGTACCTTTTGTGCCCAAACTGATATGGAAAATCCATCTTTTAAGCTTGGAATGACATTTAGCACCAAGAATGAATTCAAACAAGCAGTTGAAAATCATGTTTTTAAGACGGGTAAAGAGGTGAAGTTTGTAAAGAATGACAAGGAAAGAGTTGTTGTCAAGTGCAAACACCTAGGTTGTCCATGACAGATTAATCTCAGAAAGTTAGTTAATGCTCACTCTTGGAGGATACTACAGTTCTAACAGAATCATGATGAGTGCTCTTGGGTGTATCACAATAAACTAGTAAACTCAACCAAGATTGCTAATAGGTGGTTGAAGGAGATTAAAAGTCACTCCAATCAAAAGACCAAAGAATTCAGAAAAAAGGTATGTACTGATGAACGATTCCATGTGAGTAGAAAGCGGGTTACAGAGCAATGAGCACTGCAAAAGAAAGCTTAGAGGTGAAAAGGAATAGTACTTCAACAAGATTTGGTGTTGTGAATCCACTAACCACATGTACTGTAAATCTAAGTGAAAACATAGAAGAGGGTGAGAAACAAAGGTTTTTGAGGATGTACATGTGTTGGGAAGCATCTCGAGAAGGATTCAAAAGTTACAGACCAATTTTAGGTTTAGATGGGACTCATCTTAAAACCATGACAGGTTGGCAGTTATTAGTTGCAGTAGAGTTAGATGCAAACAGTAACATCTTTCCACTAGCCTATGCTATTATTGAGGGGGGGGGGGGGGGGGGGGACAAAGGACTCATGGGCTTGGTTTTGAACCTAGTAAGAAGGGGTGTTTATATCACTGAAGACAATGAACATGTATTCACATTCACGTCTGACAAGCAAAAAGGCCCCATTCAAGCTGTGACAGAAACTCTTTCCTAAGGTTGAACATAGGTTGTGTGTCAGACATCTACATGAGAATATGAAGGTGGCTGGATTTCCTGGAAAAGCAATCAAAGATAGTCTATGGGACTGTGCCCGGGCAAGCTTGTACAGTTAATTCATTCAAAACTTCTCTCACAAATTTAAAGGAAATTGATGAAAAGGCTTTTGAGTGGCTGACAGATAAAAATCCCACATAATGGTCCAAGTCTCATTTCGCTACACACTCCAAAACAGACATGTTGACAAATAATATATGTGAGTGTTTCAATGGTATCATCTTACATGCAAGGCAAGAGGCTATTTTGGTGTGTTTTGAAAGCATAAGGAAGCTACTGGTAAAAAAGTTTTTTACCAGTAAGAAAAAGGCAGAGAAATGGACGTCTAATTTGTGCCCTAGAATAGTGAAAAAGTTGCAAGACATTGAGAAGTTAGCAACAGGTTAAATAGGTTATCAGTGTGATGACAATGAGTTTGAGATTACTAGAATGAGTGGTAGGCAACATGGGATTGATTTAGAGGGGAAAATATGCACATGCAGGTTGTGGGACTTATCTGGTATCCCATGCAAGCATGCTATGTGTGTTATTTGGTTGAAGTTTGGAAGGGCTCCAGTTGATGCTTATGTGCACCCATGTTACAAAAAAGAAATATATTTGAAGATATATGATGGCACAATAAATTAAGCCAACGGCAGACAAAGATGATTGGCCTCTTTCTGAAAAAACTCCCCCACTTCCACCTGCGTATTCTGCCAGGCCGGGAAGACCAAGCAAATTGAGGAGGAAATCAGTTGTTGATGTCACTACAGATGGAGTTAAAGTAGCAAGAACAAACCATCAAGACGCATTGCTCAAAGTGTAGGAAAGAAGGGCATAATGCAAGGAGGTGTCCTAAAGATCCAAATAACAAAGAAAAACTGGTAAATGAAGTCATGCTTTATGTCATTTAAGTCATTTACTTATTACCACTTTTATGTCCTTAATGTAATTTATGTATAACCATTGTCTTTTTTGTACACTCAGCTACGACCTAGAAAACGAACAAGAAAACCTGCATCAATGCAAAGTGGAGGAAGTGTTGGTACAAGTGATGGTAATGGGGATGAGGGAGCACCTAAGTTTTCTGCTTTAGATGATGAAAACCTTGTGGATATCAATATGCAATTTGAAGACTTCCCATCTAGAGGAACTGAGTTTCCTATTGTTGTTTCAATGGAAGACACTTCAATGTTAACTCAAGTGAGTGACCAAGAAGCTAAAAACTGACTGGCAAAAAGCTGAATGAGAGACTGACCAAGAAACTGAAAAAGAGACTGGTCAAGAAGTTGAAAACCAGAGTGAGGATAGTGCAAAAAACTAGAGTGATGATAGTGAACAAGACAAGGGCCATGAGTTTGAGCAAAGAAATACTCATGGGGGTCAGGATAAGCTTTGGATCACTCCCTCCTTCAAAGACTTTCACTACAAAAGCTCCATAACCACAAGTGGTCAACTC